ACATATTTACATTTTAAGTGAATACATTCATTTTATGTAAATTAGAATTCAATAAAAGTGGTTAATTTATATGTGTATTTCTGTACTCATGGGACAGTTACTTTAGGTTTCCATTTAAATTCTTACATTATGTGCTCTTTTTCATATTTCATGTTCATTTCATGTTATTCAGTCCTTCCTGTCATAAGCTTCAAGCCTTGCTTCCACCATATTGTACTACCAACACCAACCGACATAATGAGATAGCTGTCGTCATGTCTACAAATACCTCCAGCTTTACAAAATCTGGGAAAGAAAACTTCAGGTTGTTCCCAAATAGGTGGTATACTCAGTGAAATCCACCGGTTTACAATCTTCTAGCTCATATTAACATCATTATGCTTAAGGTACTATTCCTCATGAATCATTTCAACAGGTCTGCTTTTTCTTTTTCTTTCTTTCTTTCTTTTTTTTATTCTTATAAACAGAAAACAAACTAAGGATGGTTTCCCAAATCCATGCTCTGAAGCTTGTAGTAGAACTCAACTCCAGCCTTGTTTTTCATGATCTGAAAACCTCTTTGAACCCGAGATAATACAGACTGTGGATTTTGTTGTGAAAAGCATCCGATTATTTATTGCACTTCATGATCCAGGAACTGAAATTGCATCAATTGGGTAATAGTATCCACAAAAAATTGAGTACAATAGTCTCTGTAGAGTGATGAATGTCAACAATGTTAAGTAGTCTAAATGAAAGTACTTATGTTGTCAGCTACAATAAGAGAATCTTAACCTATGCAATTTGTAGCATTACTGTTTATGAAGTTAGTAACCTTTAGTGAATACCTGAGAGTTTGCAGCTGTAAATATAAAGGTGCTTGCAAAATATTTAGACCAGATGAAAAAAAATACATTAATTATAAATAAGTGACCCAAAGTGTAACATTAGAATAATGGTTTCTTAAATTTCCTAAAAAAATATTGAATAATATTTGCTAGAAATATAGCAAATCTAGACCATTAGTTATTGATGGATTCATGAAAAAGATATTTTCAATTTAAACTGTGATTCTAGGAAGGCAGAAAGGGAAGAGAGATCCTTAAAATTCAATGGGTGAACTTCTATTTATCAATGAACTATCTCTCTGCTTAGATTTTATTGTTATTGTTGAGATACTTATAATACATCCTACTCAATTGGACCATGGTATACCTACATACAGAGTTAATCAACAAACTAGATAAGTGATAAATCCTCAAGAAGAAGCATATTAGAGCTCAACTTCAGTACAATTGGGTTGTTAACACCCTTGGGAACTTACAGCTGTTTAAAAAAGTAAGAAGGCCAAAACACTCAGTGAATTCAATGGGATTTAATAGAAATGTCAGAGTAAGTACATTCTCAAGACATGTAGGCCTAATAATTCAGAGTCCTTTTCCTAATCCAAAGCACATCATCTCACCACAACTTTTCATTTAACACTGATCAGTTTGTTTAACAGATTAGGAAAGGCAAGGATATATTCCAGGCAGAGGATGCTTCTTATCTTTTAAATTTTGCAATGAAAACTCCTTTCATAGCCTCTTACAAATCTACAATATCTCTGCTGTCACAATTTAAGTGTGTCTTTTAGCTGCAGGAAGTTTTGGTACATTAAGGATGTTTGCTTTTTACAGTGGGAAAACATTTTGCAAAAGGGTCACCAAAAATAGATGTCATCAAACTCAGAAAATAATCAGGTAATTTGGAATAGCTTCAATGCCCAGTGGAAGAGAATGAGCTACATTTATATCCTTAAACAACCCATATTCCTATTTTAAAATGTTTAGCCAAAAAACTGATAGTAGGCCCTCCCTGGTGGTGCAGTGGGTTAACGCCACTTCCACATGAGTTTGATTCCCCCCTGCCCTGGAGGTGACCACATGGCGCAGCAGACCTCTCCTGGCCCGCCCACTGCTCCCCTCAGCAGTGTACTTTATCCATCTGCCTGTTCTGCTCCCCACTCTGTCTCTGGTGAAGCCTCTCGCCACCCCTGAGCCTCGGGCCTGTACCCCAGTTCTGTATGCACAAATAAATCTTTAAAAAAAAAAAAACTGATAGCAAGTAAACCTTGGCTTTTTACAATTACTTGCTATTACTTGCTATTTATCCCCTAACTGACACTTACTATTGCTATAAATAGCAATTTCTTGCTATTTATTCCCTAACTGATGTCACTTACAATGACATCAACCTAAAGTCAGAGTATAAATAGTATCCTGTGGATTATAAAAACTAGTGACCATTTCATTTTCAACTCAAGCGGCAAAGACAATGGAGCCTTCCTCTTAGAATAGCAAATGACTGCTTTAGAAATCTTTCACTTTTCATTGTCTTTTTCAGAAACCACGAATAAAGCCCTGCATTTAAACAAAATGAAATTAAAAATTATTTCTATAAATGACTTTTCTGACTTGGGAAGATCTGACTGAGCATGTGAATACTGTTACATACACGAACTTTTCTATGCTCAACTCTTATTACCTGCTGACATTTATCCCAGTAGTAACAGCAGCCACAAGTATAACTTTTTCTCTGGTCACTGCTCTAAGTTCATTACATGTAACTCACTGAATTCACTAAATAATCTTATGCATTAGTTTCTACTGCTGAAGAAACTGACGCATAAAGGAAAATTAACTTGACCATGATTACAGAACACAGGAGGAGGTGAAACAAGGGGTTGAGCTTTGCACAAAACCCCCTTAACTGCTAAAGGAAAACCAGAGGAGGAGATTCATGAGGCACCACCACAGCCTTCCCGCAGGAGCAGCTAAACCTAACAGAAAACTAATCAAATGATAGTCAGGTATGAGCAACTTTTTTCTCTTTCTAATGGTGGAACTGGTGACAGACATCTGCATGACTTTTTGTTGAGGAAGGAACAAATTTCCAAAGCTGGGTAGAATATCTTTTAAAATAAAAATGGAAAAGTTCAAAATAACTTTCTAGTGTTACCTCTTTATTGCTACAAAATGCCTGCATCAAAAAGCAACTTTAAAAAAAAAATCACTAGTTTCATTGTGGCTCACTGTGGCTCACTAAATGGCAAAGGACTCAAGGACCATCAGTTCTTGGAGTGAGCGTGGTCAATGTTTGTTCGGCAGGCACTGAGCTTGGCAATGTGCAAGTGCCTGGTAAGTAAGGCTAGAAAGCATGCACTTTTTACAGATTTGGAACTGAAGCTCACAATGTTTTAAAGGTTACTTCCTACAAAGCTGTAATGTTGGGATTCATGCTCTGGCCTGTCTTCTCTTTAAACCTACCCATTGAGTTCCATACAGAAGCCCTCCATTCAAATATCAAAACAGTTATCCCTGTCCAGGATGAGTTCAATTTCATTTATATTGACAGGCATTTTGACCTTTGCAAACTACTGGTGAATATTTCACCTTATTTCAACTCCTCTTTACAGCTTACCGATGAGAGTGAACATTTTAATGTTTGCAAATGATTGCAATCAAGTGATAGCAGATTAACTATATTTTCTGAACAAACAAGGTGTAGGTGTAGGCTGGAAAATAACCCAACCTTATTCTTGCAATGGGAGATGCTTAAAGATGTGTGTAAAGCACCCAGAGGGAAATACTCACTTTTTTTTTTTTTTTTACTAGTTCAGCTCAGTTTCTATTGCCTAATCACTTTCTTATCGCCAAAAATTACATATTTACACAGGTGCTTCCCTGATTTACTTGTTTAGAAGCAGCCACTGGGAGCAAAACTTTGTGACTCAGCTTTGGTGATGCAGTCCAGCTGGAGGTTGACAGGTAAACAATTACCAGTAATCAAATCCTAAATTAATCCTGGTCTTCAAAGTCAGAGGTGGAGGAAGGGTGGGCTAGGGGTTATAAATGAACTGTTAGTAATATTGGAACTGGAACTAGGAAGTCTAGCCTCAGATGAAAACAACAAAGCGAAGAGTTGACATCAACCTCACTGCCACATGGATTATCGCAGAGTCCTCTGAATGGGGGTTTGTTATTTCCCCATCCTGGCAAAATCAGCTTGACTATCTTAGCCTCTCTAAAAGGCAGCCAGCAGACAAGTGAAGTGCTTTTTAGTTCTCAAGAGTATAATTTCATTATGCAGAATTAAGCTGTCTTGACATAAATTTCTCTCTGGTTTTTGGTATCAGTAAATATTGTTTAAAATAAAAATCAAGAATGACTATGTTTGCTCTTTTAGAACAAACCATATGCTCTAAGTGCTTGCTAAGTGAACCGCCTTAGGTGGGAAGCTATCCATCCTGTAGTGCTTGCTAGATTTCCTGGGAGTTATTATGACAGTAACCTCCCCCAAATCCAGAGCCCCTCTTGTGACATATCTGTGCACTTTGGGGACATTTATTTAAAAGGCAGCCTGACTGGCTGGAGAAAGACTGTTAGCCCTTTTTTTTTTTTTTTTTGCAGGTCATTTTTCAGCTTACTGGTAATGAACAAAACAGGTCTGATATTTTCAATAATATACTCAGGAAACGTGTGGTGTGGGACTGCAGCTTTCAAGCAGTTGACACAGAAATCTAGTTCCATCAGTGTTGAGAGCCATGCCTGAAGACACTGCCTGTGTTTGGGGATCAGCCAGGAAAGCAGTATCAGCCACAACAAGGCCATATTTTGACTGGTTTTCATCAATTTGACTTGGGTGGTTTTTTCCCCCTCCCTTTTTTTTTCTGCCTCTCATGAAAGTATTTGGCTTCGAAGCAGAAAAAAAAAAATTTCGTTGTAACTCAAAAGGGCTCTTACTGTCTCACATAAAATGTGGGCTGGAGCATTTACCTTATGGTTTGGCTCCCGGTTAAAAGTAAGCAAAAGTTGAACATCAGGGAAAAATATTAAATGACCACTTGTGTTTCTAGTCTTTATTCTCCTTCGTCTGAAAGTGTGGTGCATAACCTTTTACTCTGAACAGAATTACCCCCATGAATGTGGGAATCTGAGTGAAGCACAGGCTCTCTAATGTCAGTGGGAGCACCCCAAATAGCAGCACCCCAAAGAAAAATACCAGCATCTTAAGGAAATGGTTCTGCCCGAGGTCCTGCTACTATGTGCTGACTCAGAGAAACGGGGCAACATACTGAAAACATTTGCAGGCCTGGAAAATAACTGGTTTAATAATTCAAGTTGCTTTTAAGTTACCAAAAAATACGTAAAAACAAATAGACCTCCCTTTCCAAAAGTAATGTTGTAAGGCAATCTACTCCTGAAGTGAAAAAACAGAGCTTGTGATCAAATGCAAATTCAGTTGTGAAACTCTTAGACAATTGACAAAGACACTCCGGACTCCACAACCCAATTAGATAAATAGAAATTTCGAGTTCATGACTTTAAAATATTTAGATTAAAAAGTGAAAAATTTAGTTAATACTTAAGATGTATTTTCATCTAGTTATACATATTATTTGCTTCCCAAACAATTTTCCATGTATTCCACATTACTAATGACCTTAGAATTGGCTTTTTGTTTATTTTTGCTACATGGCTGACACCAGGATTTACACCAAGATTTTTTTTTTTTTTTTTTTATCTCAGAGCTATTAGTAGTTTGGGCTGGATGATTCTCTGTTGCAGGGACTGACTGTCCTGTTCATCTCAGAGGCTTCAGAGCACCCTCAAATCACTATTCACTAGTTGCCAGTATCCTCCCCCACCCCACGTAAGAACCAAAACTGCCTCTAAACACTACTGCACCCCAGAAGAGCAAAATCTCCACCAATTAAGAACAGACTTTATTTGATTTTGCTCATTCAATTCCAAATGCCATTTGGAAACTACGTCTACGTAGTTGCCATTATTATCCCACTTTGTCCTCTTTTCTAAACAACGAGGATGTAACTCAGAGTGCTTTTCATAGTTTACCAAGTAGCAAAGGAAAAACTTCAGCCAGATACATAGTTTATACCCCTGATGTATAGGGGGCTTCTGTGCCACTGGCCTCAGTGATTATGGCCTGTGGCCTTGAATGCAGGAAATGCTTGGGAACGTGGGTTCAGGGCACGGACACCTGATGTGGACACCAGGAGTATGGTGTGGGCGTGTGTAAGGGCGGGGCATATGAGGGAGGCATCCCAGAGGATGGTGTATGGTGGGTGAGAGAACATCCAGAGAGTAAATTGGTCAGGGGCTGAGGCCTGCCAGCCTCCTGGACCCGTGCCCCCTTGCCTGCCACCTGTTACTACTCGCACATAACTGATGGTGTAGGAAGGTCATTAAGGGTCTGAAAAGGTCAGGATTCCTCCTCTACCTGAATCGCTAGAGAAACTACATTATCTTAACACTCAACATTCAGAATTTGAGTTGAACAAAACTGTGGCTATTTTCTCTGTGGTCTAGATTTCTAGAAATCTAAAAATAAAGGAACATTTTTCTGTTAGAGACACAAAATAACTCCACTCACATTTCCTCTAATTCCAAAATGTTCCTTCCAGCAGGAAGGCCCACACAGGTGGCCACACCTAGAAGTGAGTGAGTGAACCATCTGCACTTGCTTCCATTTGCTTTTTTAATTCTTGTAGTTTTTTCATTTGTTTGAATAGGTTAAGTCTATAGAGCCTGCCAGAGTCACCATAAAGTGAACTGGCATGATGCTGGCTGGCAATAGCAATATTTATTTGATAGCAGAAGGAGGGTAGAATTTGAGAGTTGGGCATAGCTAGGATTTTCTGCTGACCGGCTTTGGGAATTTTAGGGGAATGACTAGCTTCATTTAGCTTCTGATTCATCATCTAAAAAAGAAGGACAAGTATATTTGCAAGGTGGTGATGGATGCAAGGGCCAGGGCATAGAATGTGGTATGCAATAAGTATTTAATGTATAGCAGTCAATTGGGTGTGATTTAATGGTTGTGGGACATACATTTTTTCCAATTTTCACTAAGGAGGGGGACTTGGTAATATTTATTGAGCTTCTACTATATGCCTATATGCCAAGCCTCCTGTCAAGTGCTTTACATAAATTACTTCATTTCTTAAAAGATGTTCATTGTTCATTGCCTATTGCTTATGTTAGGCAAATCTTTTTATTATTTACTTCTCCATAATGTGTCTCCTTTGCTTACAGCAGAGCAAGGAGATACACTGTACCTCATCTCATCTCTCATTCAATGTTTACAGATTTAATAAATCAATGAACCATACTACAAGAAAGCTCCCTAGGAAGTACTTGATCTCTTCTATCAAGTATTACTGACTGACTTCCTTCCAGTATAGTGTTTTTAGTGTGTTTTTTTTAATTAAGCTTTATTTTCTTACATTGTTGTTTATTTTTTCTTACACTGATATATCTACTAAGGTGTGGTCCCCATGAATCTCACTCCACAACATCACGTGTAAACCATAATCCCTTGAGCTCTTCCTTCTCCTGTTTTGACTCATCTCCCTCCCCTCCCCCTATTGTCTGTCTCAGATCTATAGTTTGCCTGTAGGTTTTATCATTTTATTTTTGGCCCTTTGTTTTGTTCCCATATATTCCTTCTATTAGTAAAACATCCAATAATTTTCTTTTCCTTCTGACTTATTTCACGGCGCATAACCCCCTCTAGTTCCATCCAGCTTGCTGCAAATGGCCTGGGTTTCTCTTTTTTTGACTGCTGAACAACATTCCATTGTTTGTATGTACCACATTTTCTTGAGCCATTCATCTGGTTTTGGGCATTTAGCACTCCTGATTTTTTTTTTTTTAAGATTTATTTATTTGTACAGAACTGGGGTACAGGCCAGAGATGTGGAGGGTGAGAGGCCTCACTAGGGACAGAGCGGGGAGCAGAACAGGCAGATCGAAGAAGTACACTGCTGAGGGGAGCAGCGGGCGGGCCAGGAGAGATCTGCCTCGCCATGTGGTCACCTCCGGGGCAGGCAGGGATCGAACTCATGCGGAAGTGGCTTAAGCTTCTTAGTGCTGTGCTTTAACCCGCTGCGCCACCAGGAAGGGCCCACTCCTGATTTTTATATGGCAATATTTATAAGATTCATTCATTTCTCACCACTCCTACAGTCACTAGCCTGCTGCTGATCCTCACTGAACCTGGACCCTCACTGAACCTGGACCCTCACTGAACCTGGACTATCAGAGTCACTATCGTAGTCACAGCCAAATGTGCACATGTTTTTAACTTCTTCTCCCTCCCACTCATGCTCCTGCTGCTGCCACAAAGAATCTTCCTCACCTGCCCCCATCAACAAACCATTAACATTGACCAGGTCTAGTCTGATATTAGCAACTCACAACCAAAGTCCTTCATGATGATCCCAGTTGGCCCTAACCAGCCTCATCTACAACCACTTAATGTTATTGTCTATTCCAAGCTGACCATTACCTACTTCAATGTGGAATGTGAAGTGTGAACTTGAAGACTGTCCAGCCATGTATTTAGCATACAGTTTATTGCCTGGCTGTCTCCTTTCTACCAGGCACTGGGTGCTACATGCACTGCAACACCAAACATGGCTCCTGTCTTTTGGAGCTTAAAATATGGCAATGGAGGAGATCATTAAGACAATTCCAGTAGAACAGCAGTAGACTTGTATGTAAATGGTTGTATTGGATGTCAAGCAGGCACCTGCAAAGGCCTCTTACCCACACGTGACAGGGGAGGGAGGATTAGACCCTGACAGCTAACACCGGAAAGCTAAGTGGGCTTGCTGGGAAACAGTGTAGACAGAACAGTATGAGCTAACCCTCAAAAAAAAAAAAAAAAAAAAGAAATGTGATTCATTTTGTGAACTGAAAGTAGTTGAGAATTCAGGAAAGTGC